GATTTCTGATTGAGGTGTCAATGGAACCTTTTTWATTTTTAGTCAATAAAACGTGTCGTGTTTTTAATACCGATTTTTTCTATAACCTGATCAATTCAAGAAACAATGAGAGATTTTCTTTGAAAAAAACCTTGAATCCAACTTGTGTACGAGTTAGGGGAGWGGGATATTGACGTGAAATGTCGCTGACGTGACGAATTGAATACAAACGAGAAGATACAAAAAAGAAACAAAAAGTTTGGAGCATTAAAGTTGACGCAACAAGATTCGGTGCCCGACTTTATTAGCAATCGCTATAGTTACAGGGAGCTGGTCATGTGTGATGCCGCCTCGGTTTTAGGACCTTTCTTGCTGTTCAACTATAAAGTGGAGTGATTCGGAAAGAGACCCGTTTAAATGAAGTCATCTATTGTGTTTGTTTTGTCTAATTGACGATCGCACGTTGTTCGATATTAAAATCAACCAGTAAAATATTCAGGTTGGTSTAATGGTTAACGTAGAGTCAAGTCATTAGAGTCATTTTCATCYCTCTGTGAAAYAGGAATTGTACTATTAAATAATATTCCCCCTATTAGCTCCCAATAGTTCAACGTGCGACAAACTAATGAGGCAAACACAGATTGATTTTGCATTTTAGTAGCCTACAGTATAGTGGTTTTCATAAACCCCTGAAACGAAGTGTAATAATTAGAGTGTAATTGATCGTAGAAGTCGCGTAGAGACAATTAAAAACAAAAGAGCCAAAGTGTAATAGCGATATACGCTAAAGTGTGTTTCTCGGGTTAATGAAAACCACTCTAGTTACCTAATAGTTACTATTAAACACTGACTCTAAACCCATGAAACAAAATGTGACTTTTAAAGTGTGATATTCAAATAGACACAAATAGAAAACAATGCCTTTTAGAGCATACTCAGGTGTATTGACACTCTAAAATACAACCCAAAAACATGAATACAATTCATTAGCCTTTTACTGCTAGATGCGGCAGGGATACCGCAACAACGTGAGCCAATAACTGCGGACCCTGTACTCTCACACTTACTACCTCTACATTAAGTATTTTTAAAAGCACACAACACTCCTCACATGTTGATTTTTTTTACTGAGGGAGGAAAACCAGAGGACCCGGAGAAAAACCCTCGTGGCAAGGGAAAGAACAATACATTAAACTCAAACTCACATATGGTCTCTGCCCGGGAATCGGTTTAACCACTAGGCCACCCGTGTCAGTTAGAGTAAGAATAAAGTTAGCGGCACTTTTATTGTTTCATGAGACGCTTTTGTTCACGTTTATGTTAATGTCACGATTCATTTCTTAAGAAGACTAGAGTACAAACATTAAATGTGTTCAATACTTTCCACTATTTACTACAAAATAGTTTTAATTAAACAATATAATAGAAAACAATAGAATTAGCATAATTTAGCAGTATTTAGTGGTATTTATGTTGCACAGTTTTAGTGTTTGTACTCTAGGATTACTCGCTAGTTTAAACCTGGAAAAGAAACCTGGCAGGAACAAACTCACTCAGGCGCGAACTTCACATGTCCCGAATACAACTGCTATATTAGTCGACTTAAATCATTAAATACGGCATTTGATTTAGACGCCGAATTTTTAGTGACGAATTTAATTCCCAATCCCCTCTMGGTCAAAAAACTACCGATTCTAATTCTTTTACTCATTTTCTTYTCCTCGCGTTTCTCCGTCCTTTCGTCTGTTTATCTTCTTCCCGCCTATCCATTCCCATACACACTTTCAATGTCATGTTCATTATTCTCCATCTGTTTTCCACTCACTTATTCCACTCACCTCTTMCTATCACCCCCACACACTGACATCCATTCATCAACAACCATTTCCCTTTCCCACATACATGCCACCTTCTATTTCATCACTATCATTTCCCTCCCCTTCTTCTTTCAGTTTCCTCACACATTTTCGCTTCATCCATTTATCTATTTACTTATTTGTTTCTATATTTATCCAGTTAATGCTCCTCGTTTATCTTTTTACTTAGTTTTTATTCATTCACCTATCCATTTTTTTATTTATAACCCCCCTTTTAATTCTACCGTTATTTAGTTATCAAGTTCTTTATTTTTTTCATTTTCTTTCATTTCTTCCCTTCTTTTCCCAATCAGTATTCATCTTCTCTCCTTTCCATTTTCATGCATACTTCCATTTTATGTTCATTATTTCCCTTCTCTTCTTCATTTTTCACATATTCAAACCACAAAAAACACCATTCACACACACAAAAAAATAAGATTTTTTTCATTTGGCACATGTGAGATACGGCGTATAAATCAACTGCCGCACCATTGCCGTATCTTCGACTGTTTAAGTCGCACATTCGACTGAAGTCGTATTTAATCCTACTGTCGAATTTAATTGATTTATACGCCGCATCTCACATGCATTTAATTCATGAATTGTATTCGGCACATGTGAAGTTCGGCGTCATAGCGCGTGCCTAATAGTCCTGTCGAACAAGTGAGCAGGCTCAGTCCAGAGTCCCTCCACAAGTATCGTTCTAAAGCGGCGGGCGTGGCTGTACTAACAGAAACCAAATCGGAGCCAGAGTCTAAAACACAAACTACCGAAAAGAACCTCCATGTCCAGAAACACAGACGCAAAAAGGGTGTTATTCCACACAGAACTGGAGAGAGTTAGGTTATTTCATTTTGAAGATAAGTATCATTCATTTTAGTATTAGGGTGAGGTCAATATACACGTGAAATAAAAATAGTTTATTATTATTTCACACAAGTTATTTATTTTTATTAACGTGTATTATTAACTCAATGGATAACAGTAGTTTAATTTTATAAAAGGAATGTGCACATCATTTTGAAGAGTTGTTTTCATTAACCCGTGAAACACACTTTAGCGTATTTATCTATTACACTTTGGCTCTTTTGTTTTTTATTGTCTCTGCGCGACTATTACGATCTATTACACTCTAATTATTACACTTTGTTTCACGGATTTATGAAAACCACTCAAGCACATGAAATATGACACTTTCTATTTACCGTTATATATTGAAAATAAAAAGAAACAAAGAAAACCTATAGTCTCTCCATAAAGTGATCGTACTTAATCCGTGCAACTGTACAAACTAAATAGTGCTGTTTAGTTGTATTTAGTAAATCGTGCATGCGGTACGCAAATTGAATTGAATTGATACAAATGGAGCATTCAATACCGTCTTGCTTCAGGTCCACTTTTAGCACAAATTAATACTACTTAGATTTTGTACAGTTGCACGGATTAAGTGCGTTCACTCTAGACGTGTAGAGACAATAGAGTGGCTCTCATTAACCCGTGAAATACACTTTAGCGTATTACACTTTATTACACTTTGTCTCTTTTGTTTTCTATTATATTTCTTGTCTATTACACTTTATTACACTTTGACTATTACACTTTGTTTCACGGGTTAATGAGAACCACTCTATAAAGCAAAAGAGCCAAAGTGTAATAGCGATAAATGCGCTAAAGTGTGTTTTACGGGTTAATGAAAACAACTCTAAGTGCGATCAATCTCCTGGGCACATAAATGTCAGAACTATTAGTGTGTAATAACATGTACTAACATAAACTTAATTAAACATGAGTTTTATAACTAACCATTTCAGTTAGTTATAACACTCAAGCATAAAACATCAGTTTTGTAAGTGATATTTATAGGTTCTGTCATGTGACCCATAGTTGAATGTTCATTGAAAGAATGTCTAATGAATAATTCATGAGTTTTAGARAAGAACTATAAAACGGTCGCTTTTGTGAGGCCTGCCCCGGAACCTTAAATTGCACTAAATCGCACTAAATCGCACTAAATCGCGCAAAATCGCACTAAATCGCGCAAAATCGCACTAAATCGCGCAAAATCGCACTAAATCGCACTAAGTATTCTCTGACTAAATTGCTATTTTATATTATAATTAGGATTAAAGCTCACCATTCATTAATTTTTGTATGTACTGTAAGAAATGTTAAAAAAGTCCATGTGTCTCAGTATATACTTGAAGAAGTAAATTTAAACCAAAATAGAAATATAAGCAAGGATGAGCTTCTTTGATTTACATTAATACATTATTCAAGTAATTATTATATGGTCATTGTGACCATTATACATCTACTGCAAGGAACAATGGTATGTATCATTATAAAAGACTGTGACTAAAATAATCCTTTGATTCAATCCCATATGCAAATCTTCCTATATAGTGATACATGAGTGAGTACAGCCTTTTGCAAAAATTATGAGAATTGTCTAAATATCTAAATATCATAATATCCATATCCATATATTGTCCGGAACACGCGGCTTTGCTAGAATAATTCATTGTTGACATCGAGAAAATGTTCAGAACTACGGATAAGTACGTCGCCAAAAAAACTAAACAACAAAGACAAGGGACTAAGGGCATCGCACGGGATCATGCACTTGATATTATGATATTTAGATATTTCAACAATTCTCATAATTTTTGCAAAAGGCTGTATATAAACCTATACAAGTGTATTTATCTGCAAATTTATTTTTATTCAGGATAATTTGTATCATTCAAGAATTATCCCAGTGTGAAAATACACGCAATTTGAGAAGCCCATTCACTGGAAATTAATTCTTAATAAATTGAATTTATTATTGCATGACAAAACTGTATTGTTTTCATTAAAAAATATGTAGCTTATACTTGGTTAGTGAACAATAGCACGAAATATAACTTCAGTTTATGTACATATTAACTTAACTTTGAAACTTTAAGCTTACACATGAAAGGGAAAAAGGAAGGTAACTTAAGTTAAGCTAAAACGTTTGACATCATACTTAAGCTTACTACCTCAACATAGCATAACAATATGTTTCTTTTATCAGGAAAATATATCAGGCTCATAAAATATACATTAATCATGATTATTATATCAAAGCTAAATTGGGACTATATATAACTTAATGGCTAAATAAGTGGATAAGCTTACCATTGTGTAGGTAATCCGAGTGTGTTAAATGTCTCTTCATTATTAAATAAACATTTCATTGGTCCAAGCTTGAGCCCATACATTTCAGCTATGCAACCAATGCTTTACTGTTATACACCGCCAAGTCTTACAATAAGAAGCCATTCAAATATCCACAAACAATCTCCACAAACCAGTTTGAAAACATAACAATCCGCCATTTTGTTAGATTCAGACGCGCAAGGAATTATGGTATCACTCGGCCCAGTTTTTTTTATCAAAAGAGAACAGAAAGCCCAAAAAACAATGTGTGGGATGCTGACAATATAAACACTTTTGGGCTTCCTGTTCTCTAGAGTATCTATGCAAACTTTAAAAAATCAATACTAATCATTTCTGAAGAGAGGGGAAGGGGTCCGAATCCCATTTCTCATTTATGTATTTGCTTAAATCCCATTTTCCTAGACCGTCCCATTAAAGGGCCCTTTTATTATTTCTAGGTTAAAATTGTACAAGTTCTTGAAGTGTGCTCACTCTAAAATCCAAGAAACTAAAATTATCAAGTGACAATGAACTAAAAGCAATTTTTTTACTTTCAACCATTTGATGCAATTTGTCATTTGTTTATAAACTATTTCTGTTCAAATCAAGTCTTAAAACAATAAACCCAAGAATATATATATTACTGCAGTACTTTTCTTCTGTCTGAATAGTAAATAGCAGCCTTTGCAACACTGATTTTGCAAAACATGGGTTAGAGTGGTTTTCATGTTAAAGAAACTTAGAGCACTACGTATTGCACTCAAGTTTTTTTTTCATGGCTTAAATGAAAACAACATTTTCTATAACTTACTGACTGAAAGTTTATAGCAATGAAAACTGAAACATTAAATTACTGTATGAAGAGCAAACCAAGGTCAATAAATTGTTAGTATTCTTACTATCTAATATTATATATATCAATAATAATCATATTAAGAAAATCATACTAGGTTCAATAATTGTATGACTAATCCTGACTATTTGCCAACACATTTGTGGCTAATAAAATAATGTTAAAAATCAGCAATTCATTTCAGCTGCCTTTAAATTGATTTCTCAAAAAATTAAAAATAATGAATAGTTACTAATATTAAGTATTTTTCAAACCACAACAATTACTGTCTTTTGCAAATTCAATTTGTAAATACTAGACGTCTGCACAGAAAAAGACAGAATATTGCATATTTGTGATATTACAATAATTGTTTTTATTTGTGAGTCATGCTTATACCAGGACCACTGAAAATTGCCCTAAACTGCAATAACCTGCTACTAAAAATTGATAGCCAATGCTTTAATTGGCAGCTTTTGGAATAAAATTTGAATTCTTAAGTAGGATGTAGGATATATAATGAAATTTTCAGAATCAATGATTTGTTTGATCCCACTTTAAGCATTTTCACAACTTAAAAAGGAACACTTATTAAAACTCTGGATTGTTCCTTTCTGCTCCTGAAAAGTTGTCTACTGTGGTTAGAGCTTCTAAGCGTTGTTTTGTTCTCCTGGTTCTAGGTAAACACAGATCTCTGTAGGACTGCACAACATTTCCATCAGCATTAGTGATCGTCCGTCGTCTTCTGGCATTTAAAGCACTAAGCTCTACCTCATGTTGCAATTCATCAGGATCTCCATCTGTGTCACTTCCACTATCTGTATGTGTATCTGGTGTTTCATCTACTAGGTCAAGGTCTTTTCTGAATCTTTCTGCTAGAACATCCAGCTTATGGCAATATTCATCACTGAATGCATAGCTCACTGAGTTGGTATTCCATCCTGCATTCAATTCCTCCACAGGTACCACAATTGGCAATTTGCTTTCTGGGTCTTTGATAATGCTTCCATAGTACACTTTGACTGATGGTGTCAGCAAGTGGAACCTTCTCCCTTCTTCATGTAATATCTCCTCGTTTAACCAGAATCCAAATACATGGCATCCACTGCCAGTTCTCCCAGCAGGGTGGGCTTTATTTATCTGAAGCAACCACCATTTGTCTGCTGATGGAATTCCTTCATTGCTTCCTGGATTTACTGCAGCAATGTCTCCTGGAAGAAGCAGGTAATCATTACATACAATCCTTTCGTTGTTTGTTGTGTTTCTTTGCACTTCAAGATCTGTCATCAGCTGGTGGAAGGCTGGGTAATGGTGGTTATATGTTTCATCTTGAAATAGTGCATCTTTTTGAAACATCACACAAGGACCATACCCACATTTATACCTGTAAAGGTCACGTACATTCTGTGATGGTTTGGCCTTAGTTAGAGTGTTGAACATTCTAGCAACTTTGAGATCGTTTTTGTTGCCAACTTCAGAGGTACAACTATTCAGTTTGTCACTCCACTGCCTGTACAGCTGAACCGTCTCAATAGATGACAGTGGAGACTTGTGGGTTGGCTGATAAGCAGTGTAGTTATTGGTATGGTAAGCATGTGGCAACTGACAGGTCTTCTTTATCAGCTCAATTTCATGACGGCCCTTGCTTTTGCAGTATTGTTCCTTGGTAGGATGCCTGTACTGTCCAGCTTGTTTGTGTTTAGCGAAACCATGCTCCTTTCTGGACTCATTCACGAATGCTGACAGGTTGAGCTGCTCCACAATATTTCCCATGCCAATCAACTCTAGAGCCTGAACATGAGTTTCCAGAGAGGAAACAGTTTCAGAAAATCCCTTAACAGTCAGATGGTAGACTGATCCCTCTGGTCCTGCAGGTGATATTCCTAGTAACTCTTTTCTTGCAGACACATTGTGCTCTAGGAAGGCAAGAGAATCCACAAGTTTATCCAAACCATCTTTGTAGGGTGAAACATGATGTTGCTCTCTTTGTGCCATGCGGTTCTGAACTTTCTTGGGCAAAAATCCACTTGCATCATATATTTGCCTTATCTT